TTTTGGAAAACAGTAACTCCTGTGCTGAGACATCAAATCGCTGTTTTATGAACACAAAGTCAACTTACACAATAAATAAATACAGGGTCATGACATCATCTGTATCGAGTGATTGAAAAATCTGAGCGAAGACAAAGTTGTTCTCTTAACCTTGGTGCTCTGTTGTTCTTGAAAGCTGTGTTTCACGTTCACATCAGCTACAGCGGCTGTGTGCGTAGGCTGCATAATGAAATCGTAACCTTTGATGCAGAACTGTAAATTTCACCTTTAGTGTTGACAGAACACACCGAAGCACCCATGGCAAACTCAGACACAAACACACTCTTCCTCTCTTCTCAATCTCAACTCTGTCATCTCACAACGGCCGCAGTGTTCAGTGTCAACACTGACCATATTATGTGGTGCCACGGCCACCATTAAAAATAGGGGGGGGGATACTCCTCTGTAAACAGCAAGAGTCTGTAACATGTTTGCAGTAATGATACGCTTTCTAAACAAATTAAGCCAGAGAAGCTGTACATTACTCATCCTGGCTGTCTGGCCAAATTCTGCCTCAACAGCACAGTCTGATCCACTGTTGGTGAACTGCATATGTGTTAATATGAGAGAAGGAGAAAACCAACCAATATGAGCCCACGGATATAAGGTTGTCTTCCTATACTGTCAGGTGTCTGCATCCGTGTGCTGTAGACTAGCTTAGCCTGGCTTTATTTCACTGTGCATTTCTCGGCACTTTGTCAGGGGCCTGTGTGCGTGTATTTTTGTGCTTATGTGTGTTAAACCTGTCGCTTTCTGTGCTCTGATGGCCGTGTGCTAACTGCTTTGGCTGATCCCCGTTAGCAGTGCATGTGTATACAGTATCTGAGTCTGTCTGCCTTCATATGCGTGTGCATCTGTGTGTATGTGAGGCAGATGTTCCCTGGGTGGTACCACTGCTCAGCATTGACATACAAAGATTAAACAGCACTTTATTTATTTTTTTACCCCCCCACCCCATCCCATCCTCCTTAACCGCTGGTTTAAAGGTGAAAAAAAAAAAAAAAAAAAAAAAAAAAAGGTCCTTACACCAACCAGAAATGGGGGAAAACTGGTTTCCACTATTATGCATCTTACTGCTGGAATGAGATAGAAAAATAGAAACACTTGTGCCTTTGAGAGATTTTAAAATTATTAGCCAATATTACTAATAATGGTTGTGATTATTTTAACCAGCGTTGCCATGTTTGTGTCTGCTGTGTTAGGCTGAACAAGCTGTATTTAATTTTGCCTCATGGTTTTATTCTACACAAAGCTCTCTTGCAAAAGAGATCTTGAATTCATTGAGACTCCCTGGACCCTGACAAAATGTTTAACTAAGTAAAAAAAAAAAAAAGAATATTACAGGAAAGGCAAAAAGAGTGGAAAACTGGACCTAGATGGACTAGTTTAGCACTACTTTAAACCAACCTTTTGGGGTTTGGAACATGAGTAGAGCATTGAGTGAAGCTCTCAGTAAGCTCTTCAGAATATCGTGTTTCATTTCGATTTAATACCAAACTGCTATATTATGGCATCTTTAGTCAGAAATGCAGATTGCAGCTTCAGATTTTAGAAAAAGTCAGGAAATGCTAAATTGTCGCTAGAAATCTGCTCGGACAGTTTCTCCTCTATTTCTCAGTCCTACGTTTGCCCACTGTAAAAAAAAACTACAGAAAATGTGATTTCAGTCATGGCATGATGATTTTGTTCTGTTCTCCAGGTACTGACACTGGCCCCAGGCTCCTTGGCGGGAACTGGTTGGGGCTTTTTACACAGGGCCAAACGGGATCCTGCAGAGCTCCTCATAAACAGCAGCTGCAGACTGCTCAGCTCCCAGCTCCTCCCCAGCCACCATCCCAGGAGGGTCCAATCAAAACCAGCCCCATTACTCCCTCACTTCGCCTTTGCGTGCCACGTCTGCTCCGTGTCAGACAAGAGAGCCAGGACTGAACCAAAGAGCGTGCACACTCATCGAGCTACAGACTGAAAGAAAAATCTATTTACCTGTGTGAACTCTGACCTCAATGATACTGCCGCTCCCCCGCCCCACCCTTCATGTATTCCTCGTGCGCAGTCCCTCGCTGACCCCTCCTTAAGTGATGATCTGAGGAAGGAAGGAAAACAGAAGAAAAGATTGTTAAATTTCTTTTAATGGAACGCCAGGGAGAACCTGGTTCAGACAGAGGACTAATGTATCACAGAGAAATACACCTCGGCATTGAAAAATGTATGCAGGGAGCTGCGAAGGAGTTTGTTATACTGCCCCTTTTACTCTGCCTCCTAACCCTGCCGGAGAGCCAGTGAACCAATGAACAACTGCACCACCCATCACACTGCCCTGATCGTATGCTGCAGCAGCCCTGTATATCGCCCCATGCGACGCCCTCCCCCCCCCCCCCCCCCCCATCCCCCTGCCCTGATCGTAGTCCGCAGCAGCCCTGTATATCGCCCCATGCGGCGCCCCCCCCCCCCCCCACCCACTGCACAGGAACAATGTCCTTCCTAAAGGTTATCAGCAGCCTGACGCTTGGTCAGCCCTCATCCTGAGTCCATTACACACAGAGCGCTGAGATTCAGTGCCTTAATACACCTCTCTTAGTTTCCCCTCACTGCTTCGCGGGGCCCTTTAAAAGGCTGATACACAATCAGCACAGGCCCAGAACACAAACATACATTCACAAGCTTAGGGACTTAGTCTGTACCAGCATATTGCCATTGTCATCTGTGGTGCTCTTCCATTTGACTGCTCTAAGTTTTCTTTTGTTGTTTGGATTCACCTCTCTGATCTGTTACATGCCCAGCACAGAAATTAGCAACTAACTGGTGAACATAGTGGAGCACTGAGCAAATCTAAAAGACCAGAAAATACCTACAGGAGCAAATAACAGAGCTAAAAAAAGTGGCAAAAACACGAGCCCACACGAATCTTACTAGATGTGTATATTTGTTATTACATTGGCAACAGCAAAAGTTATAATATATTGTGTTTGTGGGCCCCAAGTAGCCAAAATATCATTCCATGCAGTTTTAGATAAAGGAAAAAAGTATGTCAGCTAATTTTAGCATTTTCAGTACTGTCCTTTTGGGATCACGGTATTCAAAATTAAACACACTATTAAAATTACTATCTGTTATTATTAAATATCTCATTCATTTGCTTAGGATTTAAACAAAAATGGATAACTGAAAACAAAGACTCTTTATATTATTCTCAACAACCAAAGAAAGTACAGTCTTTATCTTTATGACCCTCTGACAAAGACAGCCCGCAATCTCTTCCATTGTTTCTTCACTTGCAATCTGTAAAACTGAAGCAAACAAGCTTCCTCTGCTTCAGGCTGCCCTCGTTGCCATTTTCCAAGAGGTACAGCAGGTCTCGGCTTTTCTAATCAAAGCTGAAGAGAAACCGGCGCCCACTGATGACACTTCCGTGCACAAAAGCCTGAGAAAGTGGAAGGATTTTGATAGTGGTAATGCGATAAGGAACTACAACAACTTTATGGGTGAAATGTTTTAGCACATCTTTGACTGCATCAGGACTGAATCTAAAATATATCCTGTTTGTTTTTTAGACAACAAAACATGGATGGTTTAAACAAGAGGGATGCCAGTGAGAAGGGAGGGTACTGACGAGGCTGATTCTGGAGTGAAGCCAAAAAGAGGAGGACAGGGCAGAGGAGAAAGCCATAAATACACAGGGACGCAAGCAGGTGTCGCAGACAACTGTGATTTACAGGGACTACATCCCGAACAGTGCTGACAGGTAAGCCCATTAGGCTGATATTACCCAGCTATAACACGCACCAAAGGACCCTCTTAAAAATGGGTGTGCAGCCAGTGTGTAAAAGGTGAAGGGTTTAAGAGCTGGCCATATATTAAAATCTAAAAACTCAGCAATTACATCTTTATTGAGCTGATTTTCAATTGGTGTTCAATCCATCACGTTTTTTTTAAGGTGATGTCATTTAGCAACCACACACACGAGAGATGTTTGCAGCACAGGTTGGACTAGATTCAGCTCTACTGGGCCAATGTTTTTCCTGATCCTCTGAAATGATCCTCAAAGCTGGCGAATGCAAAGAAGAGCTAAATACTGAGAAGCCAGAGCATTTCTGCATATTGGAAACTGTCGGGGAGCAATCACTGAAGAATGCAAACGTTTATGAGGAACTAAATGCACTAGAACATCAAGCAGAGATCTGCAATCGAGTTTCACTTGTAATACTGCGTGAGCAACACAAGACTACAAGAAAATTGCTACCACTTGAGCAGCACACTACAGATGGTGTTGAGAGCGACGCAGCACAAAGCAATGTGTTCCTTAATAACCTGGTGAATATTGCAGTGAAAAGCTGAGTGCTTCGTACTAAGTTCTGCAGACTCCTGCTTTTTTTTTAACCTCCTGTCAGACATATGAACTCTTTCATCCTGGAAATAAGAGGCTGTGATCCTCAAAGAAAATAATCGTGTTAAATGAGGGTTGTGTCTGCATCCATAACTTCTGAATGTGTGGGGGCCTTTGGGGGGTTAGAGGTGCCTCTGGGGGAACTTTGAATGTAAACTCAACCCTCCACAAGAGCCAGTCATCTCCTGCTTCCTAATCAACACTCGGTAGTCATATCTGATGATGCGGCTGTTCATTCACCGAGATAAACAAATTTTCTGTGCAAACTCTTCAAATGCTGAAAATAACAAAGCCTAAGTTTGCCCGTTAAAAGCCCTTAACACCACCACGTTTACTTTAGCTTCCCGGGGGGAATCCTAGTCTCAAGCAGCTGTTCAACTCATATACATATACACACACACACACACACACACCTTATCATCCGAGGCCGAGGAAGCAGAAGGGCTATAAAAGCCAACCTCATCTCCTTAAAACAGGCAGGGCTGTCCCTGGGCGTCTTAACACAACTCATCAACTGTTAAACCAGAGAGAGGCAGAGCAGTAAAAATCAATGCCCCCAACCGTTAAGCTAAAAGCAGTAGGCTAATAAATGTAATTGATTACCTCTATGTAAATAGAAGAACTCTAAAAACCAGAGAATGCAATTTAAAGCAGCAGAGTCTCTGAAATCGATTGACGCTATAAGCGAAAGAAGCCATTTCCCTCTAGCCGAGATAAAACACTTTACTATGAGCTGTCAGATACTTATCAGGAGGAAATTAGCACAGGAATACCATTTTCCCAAAACAAACAGGTCAAGTGTTTCTCCCCGTTCAGTGGTCTCTCTCTCTCACTCTCCTTCACTCTCTCCTGCTCTGATATCATCTGTTATTTTCTCCATTTAAATGCCAACAGTGAGCAGGCTGGGGCTGCATTTCATTCAAACAGATCATGTGTGCCAGCAGGAGCGGGCTGTTGTTTGAAACGGAGAAGATGAGGTCTTGGGTTCGCCTCGGCTCCCAGGAGCAACCCCAGAGCCTGCCAGCACCTGTGCACGCACACACACACACACACACAGTGTGACGCAAGTCCGTCCTGAATCTCCAAGCCAGATCTCACCAAAACAATATTTGCGTTTTTGGCCTGCAGTCTGTGTTCCTGGCTGAAAAAAAGAAAGGCAAAAAACAAAAAACAAAAAAAACACAAAGCGAAATAAAACACACACAGAACAGAACACAAAGAGATGTCAAAGCAGGCAGCAGCCCACACAAGGCTGCCTTGTCGGAGAGAGAAGAGGGCAGCTCGGCGTCAACATCAACACCAGTTCTGCAGTCATCGCTCAGCAGGTAATTATGATAACAACGTGTTCCCTAGGCAGCCTCTCTCTGATTTAGTTTCTGAGCACTTACCCTTCCTAAAATCTCCACCCGATAACATCTGATATGATTACAAAGTCAAGATCCTTTTCAAGGAGCGCCCACTTATGTGCCTCTAATTTGGCATATAGTAACTCTCCCTCTTGTGACTACTCAGTGATGCTTCTCATCTTATTGTGTGTGCTTAGTTAAGATGCTGCACCATTCTGATTTCCATAACATTTTGGAAAATGCCATGACATAAATGAACCTCACCTACCAACGCCATCTGTTACTGAGTGTTCCACTGCCTGCTATTACCTTTGATTGTAAACACAGCCCTGCTACATGGGAAAATACATAATTTCCTTGTGCCTGTTATCATCCAGTTTGAACAGTGGGAGTCTGGCCCTGAATGGAGTCAGCAGAGTTGACCCTGTGATTACCTCTGTGGTGCAGCATTTTCCATGGCTGTCATCACAGCCGACCCCTTAAACAGCCAGCACTGCTCTGCAACGGGGCAAGGCTGTTGACATACTGAAGACATTTAAGATAATCCCGGAGATGTCTTTGTGTTTTCCAAGATTACATCTTCAAAGGGAAAACGCAGCCGGCAGCTTCTACTTGAAAGGGAGAGAGAGAGAGAGAGAGATGGAGGGCTCTCTTTCTGAACGAGGGGGTGAAATAACTCAAGAATGCAATCATGGTTCTGGAGTGGAAGAAAGCCTGTCCTGGCTAGCTAAGCTGGCAGGAGGGTGGGGGGTGGGGGTAGAGAGGAATCAGACCCGAGAGAGAAAACACACCTGCTGGATGGGATAAATCAGAGTGAGGTAAAGAGAGGATTTTCAACTGTGTGTACTGACGAAGGCTGTAAATCACTGGCCCCGTCTTTTATCATGTTTGCTATGTTGTCGATGTTGAATGCTCAGCTTTGGAAGGTAAAATACGCACAATCAATGACAGTTCTATCCCAGTGATATTATGCTACAGTATAAAATACAGAGCCGATCAAAGGTCTCAATGGTAACAGCTAGAAATCGCCACTAGCGCTGGATAATGGGCAGCATTTATAACTCCTGCTGTATACATCTGTACCTCTACTGCGTCATCAGCTATACTGAAACCCAGAGAAAGGTCATTGGTTATGTTTGTTACAAGCATCTCTCAGTCCAAACTGTTGACTGTATATACAATGGACAGGCTGACAGCCCCCAGAAGTGGAGCCACCACGAATCAAACGCTCCCTGGTGGCTGGTTGGAGCATAGGTCATAAATCCTGCCTCCTCCATGTTAGTGGATGGGACATGAGCCAAACTCAAAGTACAAATCAGTGGTGATTTCTGTCCCTTTGGTGACAAGTGGTCA